ATAAGGTGTGTATCCTGCTCACATTTCACATAACGCTGCATATTATGTAAGTTGAAGAACCCATCCAAGTGCTTTGAAGTTGTGTATGTTTTCTGCTGATACAACTGTGGAAGTGAATTCTATATTTTTACCACTTGCACAATGAAAAAACGTATGTATAAGTTAAGGTCAGTAGGTATAGAGCATTCCATCTGTAATTGGGTAGAAAACTGGCTTAAAGACCGTATTCAGAGAGTGGTGATCAATTATTCATACTCTGAATGGTCTGAGGTTGTTAGTGGTGTCCCCCAAGGTTCAGTGTTGTTAGTGGTGTCCCCAAGGTTCAGTGTTGTTAGTGGTGTCCCCCCAGGGTTCAGTGTTGTTAGTGGTGTCCCCCAAGGTTCAGTGTTGTTAGTGGTGTCCCCCAAGGTTCAGTGTTGTTAGTGGTGTCCCCCCAGGGTTCAGTGTTGTTAGTGGTGTCCCCCAAGGTTCAGTGTTGTTAGTGGTGTCCCCCAAGGTTCAGTGTTGTTGGTGGTGTCCACCAAGGTTCAGTGTTGTTAGTGGTGTCCCCCAAGGTTCATTGTTGTTAGTGGTGTCCCCCAAGGTTCAGTGTTGTTAGTGGTGTCCCCCAAGGTTCAGTGTTGGGTCCCTTACTGTTTAACCTATTTATGAATGACATAGAATTGGGGATTAAAAGTACTATTTCTGTGTTTGCAGACGACACCAAGTTATATAGTGGAATGCAGTCCTTACAGGATGTCTCCATCTTACAAGCAGATCTGAATGCTCTGTGTGATTGGCATCTATTTGGAAAATGAGGTTTAATGTTGATCAATCTAAAGTTCTGCACATGAGGACTAAAAACCTGCATGCGGCCTATACTCTAGGGAGAGTATGTTTGTGGGAGTCAATGATGGAGAAAGATCTGGGTGTTCTGGTAGATCATAGACTCAATAATAGCATGCAATGTCAGGCCGCAGATTCTAAAGCAAGCACAATACTTTCTTGTATTATTTGGGGTCTCTAGACTCCAGAGATAGAGACATCATCCTGCCCCTGGACAAAGCATTAGTAAGAACTCATCTGGAATATACAGTTCAGTTTTGGCCACCAGTTCACAAAAAGGATGTTGTGGAACTGGAGAAAGTGCAGCGAAGGGCGACTAAACTCATAAGAGGCATGGAGGAGCTCAGCTATGAGGAAAGATTAGCTGACCTGAATTTGTTCTCTCTGGAGAAGAGGCGATTAAGGGGAGACATGATCACCATGTATAAATACATGAATGGTCCATATAAAGAGCTTGGTGCCAAATTATTCACGTTAAGGTCACTGCAAAGGACAAGGGGGCACTCTTTGCATCTGGAGGAAAAGAGGTTTAACCTTTGCATACAGAAACATAATAACCAGGCCAGAATGATTCATCCTCCTAAAGAAAATGCTGATAAGATTTCTATATGACCTTTTCCAATCTTAAAGCTATACTCCAGGCAGGTGTAAAAGACACAAATTATTGCAGTTCTGCAATCTTTAAATTGTTCTTAAATGTAGTTTGTTAATGCATGAGTTGTAAGTAGATGAAATTGACTTGATATCAGCCTCTTTTAGTCCTAGTGCAGCATAGCTCATAGAGAGGGAAGGAGAAGCAGCAAAATTAACCAATCAGGTGTGTTGCGGTTCAAGAACCATGCTAATAGAAGAGAAGAGTAGAGTAACAGAGTAAGAGCTCAGCAGTCTGCTGCTTCTCCTTTCCTTGTCTAGTCACAGGGTGAGAGCTGGGAGGGAATCTGTGAGTGAAACTGAAACTGCAGCAGAGGAAGATCAGGTCCCCTTCCCTACCAAGCAGGAAGGTACTATGGGGCAGAGCTATGTAAATCTCAGAAGTGGATAGACAGAAGTACAAATCCTCTGGCAGGCAAAACGGCCCACATATATGCACTGTATTTCATATGTATAATTCAATGTCCCATATGCAGAGAGAACATGTTGGACAGGACACACATTTTGTAGCCAGAAAATGATGGCAGTGTCTCTTTGCGAAACAAAGCCTATCTTTGTTTTTATTTTATTTTTATCCATCATTCTGGAGTTTATATGTACAAATGTATATTTAAAAGATATACGAGAAAGACACAACATTATCTATGTGTGATGAGTGGTTCATACTTATAAATGAGTTACAGGCTAAGGCAATGCACCCCCAACTGACTAAGAAAATCCAGTTCTCATTTAGAACTAAACAATAGTTTGTATATTTTATATATTACAGGTAAAATGATAACACTTTGCTACTGAAACTTAAGAATGCCAATGATCCTTCTTAGTTTTTAGTTTAATAAAATGGTAGCATGTAGTAACCAATCACCTTTAAACTTCTACATTGTCTGATTCAAAGGCAACAGAGAAGTCTTTTCAAACCACCAAGCATCCAGTTCTCTTTGGGAAGACAACTATGCAATAGCCCGCTGCAGGGAGATGTTAAGCAATACCTATCACTGTTGGCAGGCAAGAAACTGATTGTGCCAGTAAAATGGAAATCAGAATTTATGTTGCTGTCTCCCCATTGAACCACTGGCTTAACAGGCAGGCACACCATCTTTCTTTCTAGGGTTCTCCTGCAAGGTTTTCTCTAAATGGACATGCTATCTAATGGCTCCTCTTTATGTTCCTGTTAATAGAGGGAAAGCAGACTCTCAAATTCACACTTTAAAGTTTCCCTAGAGCATGTCAGGAAGGGAATTGATGGAAGCAGAGACCACAGACTTCTTCAGTGCAGGTACATGTGCTTGTAGAGTGGTAGAACGTTTTGTGTATAGATGTTTAACTAGGTGCTGGGGGTACAGCAAATGCCCATGAAGAAATTAATTAAGAAAAAATTTAATTTACTCCAACTATGTATATGAACCTCCCTTCTTTTGAATTTCTGGTGATTTAATAAGTTCTTAGATCAACTTCTTAGGCAATATTTTTTCCAAATCAGCACGGTCGACTGTATCCACAATCAAGGTTATATAATCCAGATATTATTCTCAAAAGAGAAGAAGGAGAGTCTCATAGTGAAATTCATTTGTTGTCTCCCCATTGAACCACTGGCTTAACAGGCAGGCACACCATCTTTCTTTCTAGGGTTCTCCTGCAAGGTTTTCTCTAAATGGACATGCTATCTAATGGCTCCTCTTTATGTTCCTGTTAATAGAGGGAAAGCACGGTCGACTGTATCCACAATCAAGGTCATATAATCCAGATATTATTCTCAAAAGAGAAGGAGAGCCTCATAGTGAAATTCATTTTTTATTTTACATTTTTAAAACAGAATAATTGCACTGAAGTATATGAAGAGGACACGGCACTGTTTCATAGTGTTTTAAAACCCAAATCTTAATTTTGACATTCTGCCTCTAGGGTCCAGGGATCTAGTAGATTGGTTATAATAAGCTATTGCCTGCACCTGTTGGGCTTGCTGCACATATTCATGATCAGTGGACATGACTGCCATTATCCTTTCCTGCATCTAAGCAATGTGTTCAGTTACACTTTTGTGAGGTTTGCCCTCTTGCCCCCATGTTTCCTGGGCTATATCTAGGACTCCCCATGGATATCTACTGCACAGAAGACCAAACAGGGAAACCCTGTGGAGGATTATTCGGAAAAAAGGAAAATCACCAGCACTCGGAAATTGTCGTTTGTTAGCCAATGTTTAGGGGCCTCGCAGGGTCCCTTCGTAACGGTGACATAGTGAGCTGATGAGGGACCCTGTGTGGCCCCGAAACGTTGGCTTTTCTGATACATGTGACATCAATAAATGATCAGCAAGATCTAAAAACGACAATTTCCGAGTGCTGGTGATTTTCCTTCTTTCCGAACTTGAAGATACACAGCGCCATCCGTGTTTATCACTGCCAGCACCACATTGACTATTGGTCCAGATGCTGTAAGGAGTGCAGGAGAAACATCCGTACAAAACTGTGGAGGATTGTGGTACTTTCCTTATTGAAAACATGAAGCATGATAACAAGAAGTACCAGTCATTTACATCTTTATCAACCACTCTTTAGCACATCTTTCAGGGTTCTGTTGTACGGTTCTACCAGCCCATCATGTTGGGGTTGTATACTAAAGTGTGTAGGTTAACAATTTTCAACAACTTTGGTTGTCTTTGACATGAAAGGTTGTCCTTTATCTCTCAAAATTTCCTTTGAAATATCAGTCTGGAAAAACATGTGGAGCAGTTCTTTGGCTATAACCTTAAAGGATCTGCTACTCAAATTTTACACAAAAACATCTAAAGGCTAACCATAGAGGATGTGTTTCTGAGAGATTGCTTCTGGATGCCAGGTGGCATAGTCAAGGAATATCAATATGTACTAGTGCCCCCAGGTGAACTTTGATCAGTGGCACAACCAGACGCATTGCAACCCTCTCAAAAAGCAAAGTTCGAAAATGTGTTTGGAGTATTTTATTTGACTGCAAAATTTTATATCCTTATGAAATGCTTTGTAAATACCAGGTCAAAAAAAAAACCACACTGCTCAATCTGCACTTTTATTTTTTATCCCCTAAAGACCAGATAATACATGATAATGGGCTATACCAAACATCATCCTTGCACGCGACTGAGGAACCACCAGATACTGCACAACTTGCTCTTGCTTCTTCTTTACACAATACATGCTGCCATTTTGCTGAGAACACGCAAGGCTTGACGTCCTGTTCAATAAGACAATTGTGGACCAGCAATAATGGAAGCTAAGTGACTTTTAGTATATCTTATTATATATTTACATACTATTGCATGTGCTAGGAAAGGAGGTAGCATATGCATGTGTGTGTATGTATGCATAATTGTAGCAGTCTAAATGTTTTGTGTTGTTTTCTTCTGTAATTAAGTAGTTTGTATATACAGCATTGTTGTATAAAGCACGTTAATACTACTATTGGGTCAGTTTACTTGGTTTCACTAAAAGAATCAGAATAAATAAGTAGCTGTAAAAATTAAAAAAAATAAACAAGGGGCCTAAGAGAGGTTACTCATATATTTTCTTCCTATCAAGTAAATATGATTGTGTATTTATTGTTGATTTAAATAGGATAATGAAACATTTTGGGAAAAATATACAGCTTAGAAGTCCAGCACTTGAGACCAATATGGCAAAAACCTCCACAGCTACCATATATTTGCCTTTGGTGCTCAGATAGGCCGGGATCATGGCAATCCAAACGCTACAGAACACAAGCATGCTGAATGTGATGTATGTGGCTTCATTAAAACTGTCCGGTAATGTCCTCACCATGAATGCCAGAACAAAACTCACTGCTGCCAGAAACCCCATATAACCCAACACAGAGTAGAATCCGATAACTGACCCTTCATTACACTGAATGATGACCTTGTCCTGATAAGACTGAGTGTCCATTTCTTTAAATGGGCGAGAAGAGAACAACCAAATAAGACATATTATCACTTGAACAGATGAACACAATGATACTATAGCGTTGGACAGTTTGCTTCCAATCCATTTCCTCCAGTGGCTGCCAGGTTTGGTGGCTTTGAAAGCAATGTAAACCATGATTGTCTTAGCCAGAAGAGAGGAGACGGCTATGGAGAAGATGACTCCAAATGTCGTAACACGGAGTATACAGGTTATATCCAATGGCTGACCAAGGAACAAGAACACACAGAGGAAGCTCAACAAGATGGAGACAAGGAGAACAAAACTCAGGTTTCTGTTGTTAGCTTTGACAATGGGGGTGTTCAGATAGGAAAAAAAAATCCCCATTACTAAAACAGTCACAATACAGAGTAAAGCAGAAGCTGTGATGAATACTTTAGAAATGACATCAGTGTAGGAGAGAAATTCCAACACTTTTGGAACACACTGATCCTTCTTCTCATTGGACCATTCATCATCTCTGCACTTCATACAGCTCTCACTGTCTGCCAAAAGCAATAACATAATATAACACACATTATTTTTTTATTGTATTGTTTATATGTCTCGATCAGCCTACTGTACCTATTAGAAAATGCCTCCAAAGTGCTCAATGTGTCAATTTATAAGTAGATTTCTACAGGCACCACACTGTCACAGTGCTTATGGTACAGCTTACAATGGGTAGAATTGTAGATTCCTTTTTAAAAATATACATGCAGTCCATCTGACTTGTCTTTATCTGACATCTATAGTTTACAAAATCCCAGCGTGCACAATGGTGAATGTGCAATATATTTCACCAACTTTTAAAAACATGCATTGAGCAAACCAAAACATGTCAATAATGTGCCTTTACAGTACATAAAATAAAATAAAAACATATGTAAACATGTAGTGCACCACACTATACCATGAATCGATCCAAAACAAATATTTAAACAAACTTTGTGAAAATAATAAACTTAATATGTGATTTTTCACTTAGCCCAGTGATATACGTGAAATAAAAAAACATGTAATATTTTCACAACATAATGTGATATCTCTTATCAAATTATGATAATTTTTCCTACACCCTTCATGTTATACAGATTTAAACACATATAATAGTGTCCATCTTATCAATCAAACGATGATAGTCTTTTTGTGATTAATATCACTCCAAAAATCATCCACAAGATACCCAGTGCTGTGTGTACACCTGATCCTCTCATAGAAAACTCACCAGATTCCCATGACACTCTAACAACTGAGAGTCCATAAATGCTTATTTTTCGTTGTCTCAGTACACTCCAGCATAAATAATCCACTTTTATCGGTACTCTTCCACTCTACCTATATTCATCCTCGCTCCCCAATCAATCATTTACAGGGTTATTCATAAAAGGGTGAAGAGTTTGGAGAAGGCGGGAGAAGTGAACAGTCTATGGGCTTTTGGGAAATATTAGTGGTCCAAACAGACCCCTGATATTTCCCTTTTAAAATAGAAAAAGAGATTGAGGACACAGAGTCCTCAATCTATTTTTCGGTATCCCTAGTTATAAATGAGCAGGAATCCTCTATACTGAGTGCTCCTGTTCATTGATAACATGAGGACAGAGTATGTTTACTATAACTACAATCATAAATGAACAGGAGGTGAAGTAGATCACTTCCCATTTATCCATAATTGAGGATATAGTAACCATACTCTGTCGTCAATTATCTACAAACACTCAGTGATCACTGATCGCTGGGTGTTTGTACCGCTCTCCTTCCTGACCGCTGTCACAGGAGGCCGAGCGCGCAGGCCTCAGCCTCCTGTGACAGCGCTGGTTATCTCTGCCCTCACTGCTCTCCTCTGATCTGTGACAGGAGGCTGAGCGGTGCAGGGAGGAGAGACGCCGGCTGCTCACAGCGCTCTCCTCCTGCAGCGCTCGGCCACCTGTGACAGTTTCTTTCCTCCCCGCTGGGACACAGAGCAGCGACCAGCGGGGAGAAGAGAATGCACCGCTGTATTGGCTAGAAAATGGCACTTTTCGGCATTATGCCAAAAGTGCCATTTTCGGACCATATTTTTTGGTGGCTGATATATCGGTGCATCCCTACTGTTAGTGATTCATCATTATCATGTAATAGAACAAACCACTCATAAGTACATTAAGTTTAAAACAAGTATCTCTTATTAAAAAACAATCTAGTCACATTCAGTTCTAAAAATCCGGCATATATTTAAGTCATCTCCCGTCCCGCATGCGTAATGGCATCAGCAAGCCCTGCCTTAACGTGTTTCATCACATAGACTTTTTCAAACGCAGTGGCTTTGCTGAGGGCAGTGTGCATCCATTATACTGTATGTATCCAGTAATATAATGAGGATTCAGCAAGTTCCCAGGTATGCAAAGGCTACTGGAGTTACTTAAATCCAGTTAAGGGGTTTCATTTTTTATTTGTAAGATTTTTTTTAATTCATAAAAAGGTTTTTCTCTGCTGCGTTTCTTATTTACAAAGCTAACTCATACTCATTTTAGCCTCTTCAAAGATGGCCACAGTGTTGATATTAGCATAGCAGGGGGGTTAGAAACATTTGGTGCCTGTTAAAAGAAACCAAACTTGTTCTCTTAAGATGTAGCTTAGTCCTTTTTTGGCCTCTCAAGAGTCATAGGCTGCGATAGGGGTGGTATAAGCATAGCAAGTGGCTTGGACAAGGTATGGGGGTTTTGAGATGTTTGGTGCCAGTTATAGGAAGCTGGACATGTTATTTTTAAGATAAGACCTCATCTTTTTTTGGCCTCTCAATCTTCAATCTTCCAATGTGTGGCATCAGAATAGCAGTGGGACAAGGCATGAATGTGTAGAACAGTTTGTTGCCTGATATCATTTGCTGAACATCTTCTTTTAGGGTGAGACTTAGTCCTGTTTTTGGCCTCTCAATCTTCAAAGACTGCAATAGTGGTGGTATCAGCATGGCAAGGAGCCTGCACAGCCACAGCACAGCCACAGCACAGCCACAGCACAGCCACAGCAATTATAATGTGGAAAACCCAGACCGTATACCTTGTCACAAACTACAATTTCTGAATTTGATTGAATGTCAAAAAAGAAAGGCCATCAGCTGATCCAAACCTTCAATTTAGATTATGAGTTCTAATTGTTTTTATACATGTTCAGTATAGGTGAAACGCCAGCGTTGAAACTACCTTTAAACTGTAGAGATAAAAAAGTTGCATTTGCTGCCATGCTTGCCATCAATCCAAAGCTGTACCTACCCTGTTTCCCCGAAAATAAGACCTCCCCCTGAAAGTAAGACCTAGCACTATTTTTCAAGATTCCTGTAATATAAGACCTACCCCGAAAATAAGACCTAGTTTGGTGGTAGCATGTGAGGGGGAACTTGAAGAGCAGGAGAGATGGTATCAGCCTGCAAGGACATACTGTATTAAGAGGATGACAGGGGTCTCCCTCTGGCCAGTGCAGTGACAGCGAGCACTCCAGTACAATACTTCACCAACTGCTGTCCCCCTGAAGGCACTGCTTAATGTAATGGTACTGTACTGTAATGTGTACCGGTAAACGGTACCGTACTTTACCGCGCTGTCCACTGTCTGATGTCCCCACTGCTACCACTGTCCCTGGTGGCAAAGGAAGCCGGCGCTGTAAATAGCAAGGCTGCAGCGGCGGAGGGAGCAGAGCCGCATTAGCCGATACTTCCTCTATAGCGCCAGTTACTGTGACAGGCGGAGTGATACCAGATAACTTTAGATTGTTGTACATTTTGGTGCACTTAAAAAAAAAAAAATAAGACATCCCTGAAAATAAGACCTAGTGTGGTTTTGGGGGGCTAAAAGAATATAAGACAGTGTCTTATTTTCGGGGAAACACGGTAGCAGTACTTCAACTTCCCCACTACATGCAACCAGTCTTTCAAGGTAAATAATGGCCAACATTCAACTCAATTCCTGTGATCTTAGGCTGCCATGGAACCCCCTCTGGGGGAATGTCATAAGGCAGCCTGGGATCATAATAATCTTGGGCTGAGTAATGTGAGGGATTCTTGATTTAGGTGAAAGGACCGCCCACAACTGCCAATGAAGAAGGAGGAGGAGGTGATACCATCACATCTACCTGAAGTCTACAGTGACAGAGTATTAAAAACATATTTGATGCTGTGGGAGGACATTGTTTTGTTTTTTTGAGGGAAGCTACATTTTCATGATGTCTTACATGCAGTGAATGGACATTTCTACAAGTTCTAATTCTCATTGCTAGGATCTTAACCTGATAGGAGCCAAGTGAACTGTCTGAGTTAGTTTGAACTGCATCTCTGTGTGCAAGATGGGTTTTTTTCTATAGTCCAAAAACCTGAAGCCTACAAATATCACTATAAAGCTTTAGCACATGTGATTTCCTACCCCACTGGAATATGCTTTATACGAAACTTCTAAAGTGTTGTTATTTAAGTTGCAACTGTCTCACATCTGTGAATTTTGGTTGAATACAAAGTTTATTGAATAAAACTGTAAATAAAAGGGTTATGGTATACCGGTCTGATTGGATATCTCCCCTTCTGAACATGGTACACAGTCATAGCAGCAAGAGTGGATTGAAGATCCTGGCTTTTTTCTGCTTCCAGGCAAACAAACCTCTGAGCACCGAGATTCCAGCTGCTAAAAAGAAGTAAAAAAGAAAAAAATTGGCAATTTAAAAATTATAATTTTACTCATGTAAAATAGCATTGGGAGTACAGTAAGAGTGTGTGCCAACTGTTACTGAATCTCCTCTACCTTTGCTATAGAGCACAATTTGTGTGCAGGTCATTCACACAAAAAAATCTTAACAATTATAATACGAACAAAAATCTCCAAATAATAGGAGTGTTGGCACATACACGTAGATGACTCATAGCTAACTGAACTTATAGGGAGAAGTTAAACAGACTCTCACACATCAGCCACTACATTAGGAAAAGTCATTCCATCTGCATGCTCTAGCTATCAGGTGGCACAGTTGAAATATAATTCTAGTCTTTGCAGTGAAAAAACATTATTGAGCAATAGTGAGGTGGCGAGCAGAATAGCTCGGCGGCATTCAGCTATTCACTCACTGCCGTTTAGCCCCTATGAGATTAGGGGTGAATGGCAGAGAATGAACTGCCAGAGCTTTGGCTCAACCAATCCAGATGTTGGATCGCCTGAGTTGAACTGCTTCTGCACTTCCTAATATCAAAATTAGGAAAGAATTAAAACCATCTAAAACCATCTGAAAAATATAACAAATATACTGCACGGCCCTGCATATATAATAATGCACAGCATATATAATAATGCATAGCATATATAATAAACCATAGCATTATAATTATCATCTGTACAGTCAGCCACATAAAGACCGGTATCCATAAAAGTCCAGCTTTATTGTATAATTTCCAAATCCAAATATAAACGTAACGTAATACAGCAAACGTAAACGTAATACAGCAAACACATCACCATGGTATCTCTCCCACACCAGCACCTCTCATGCGTTTAACCACCTGGGCTTATGAGAATAGGGGCAAACGGCAGAGAGTGAACTGCCGGAGCTTTGGCTCAGCCGATCCAGTTTTTGGAACGGCTGAGTCGAACCTTTTCTGCACTTCGGCTTAGCCGAACATGCAGAGCATGTATCAGCCGTACTGAGCTGAAGTGAATAGCCAAACGCCTTTCGGCTCAATTCACTTCGGCTCGGTTATTCATTCGGCAGCATTGTGAATAACCCCCTAATGGGGTCAAATAGTAACTGTGAGATGCATTGGTCAAAAACAATTTCTGACATGGCTTTCTCAAGTGAAAGGCAGAAACTATTTAAAGATCTAAGGATCTGGATATAAACATGGAAATCTGATGGAGAAAAGACCAAGTGGTCCACCAAGTCTGGCCTTTTTTTCCATTTTTGTCTGGAGATAGACCTATGTTTAACCCAAGCATGTACTACATTTACTGTACATATTATTGATTGACGCACTGCCTCTGCTTGAAGTCTGTACAAACACCCACTACTAAATAATACTTTCTTGTTCTTCAGAAAAGATTTTTATCGATGTTCTACTAATTGCCTAAGAAAACTGAATACAGTTAGACATTACGCCAAACATACTGAAAGAAAAAGCCCTGGTGTACATGAACTTTATGGTATATGTCATTACATCAAAAAATGCATTCCATTGCAGCAATGAAATGCTCATTTTCACCTATTTTATTCCTTTAAAGACCCTGTGGATACCAAAGAAATAACTGTTTATCTACCAGAAATGCTCTCCTAATCCCTGCTGTGCGCTGACATGGCTGACAGCACAGAACAATTTTGAACATTTTGGAAAACTTAGTGGTATCAGTCTTGCTCATTTTTTGCTTAATCTAAGTTAACTATTCAAACCCTCCAACTCTCATATTTGTACAACATAAAGAGTAATTGACCTGTAGTCAGTGTAAGAAATAGGAGGTGCTAATAAGACTCTTTGAGATAACACAGGAAGAGTAGACAAAACACAGGGAAGGACGTGAATTTGACGTGAGCAGCAGTTTTTTTTCATGTTAAGGTTTACATACACTTTAAATGTTTTTTTTTTTCCTGGGGGGCAGAAGTACCCCATAGTCTCCATTACATGAGTAAAAGGAAGAAATATACTTACGTGTGATGGGATGATGAGGCTAATATAATATTTGAAGAAATATATACTTTATGGGTGACCTGAAGAAATGTTTTTGCTTGCTTATAACTTTTATACATCTGTAGTGGAAGTTTTTTAATGGATAGCCAGTGTCATTAAAAGTGGAAGCCAAGTGTTGTTTTCCTCACCTTATTATCATCTTCATTCCATGTTATTTTAGTAGAGTTAATGTGAAGTTGGTCTTCCTCTGTAGCCCATGGTGTGTACAAACCAACATCAGTTTTGCTCATTTTAAAGCTGCTAGTCTTTACCCAATTTATTATTTTGTAGTGAAAGGGAAATTCTCCATTTTCATCAAAAAAGGTCTTCCGATCTACATTCTCAAATGGATTTTTTATTTCTTTAATACATTTATTCAACTGAGGACAAAAAAAGAAAACAAGTTATAGATGAAGTTTAATTGGTTTATCTTTTACCTTCCCTAATATTTCTTTCCTCAGTTCATCAACACAGTAATCTATTTTTTAATAAAATGTTTGCATTTTTATTACTTGCCTTATAATAGACTTATTGATGTCATCACCGCTGTGCTTCTCTGCAGGCCAATCATTGAAGGTGCAAGGGTGCTATATGTAGCTTCCTGAAAGCATCACAACACCCTGACTCAGTACTGTTCTTAAGAGCCCTCAATCTTGATGCAAGCATTGGGCTGACACTTGGGAGAAATTATGCAAATATCCCAATGCCTTGATGGGTGGATGTCTGGAGGATCGTGAGTTTCTGAGTAGGTAGTGTTTGCATGCAGGCTACCCTGGGTAGCATCAACATGTGATCCTAAGCCTCCATGGTTGAAAAAAATGGAAATACAGTGAATGACAGGTGAGGTCAGGGACAGTCAGGCTGGGAAGGAAAGCGCTGGATGATTCTGGACATCCCCCCAGTCCAGAAAAGGGGCGGGCTCTATCTGAAGGTTGTAATGTACATTATACGAAGCTCACAGTGTGAAATCAGAGTAAGCATTTTAAGTCCAGGAGAGGAGCCGATACAACTGTGTTTGCGGATGACACCAAAATTGGGAGGGTAATAGACACGGACTTAGACATTATAACATTACAGGAGGACCTGGATAAAATAGGGGGAGGGGCATTAATGTGGCAGATGAGGTTTAATGTCGATAAATGCAAAGTAATGCACTTTGGAATTAAAAATAAACAAATGGGTTATACAATTATGGGTATGCCGCTAGGGAAGTCAGAAATGGAGAAGGATTTGGGGGTCATTGTAGACCACAAACTGAAAGGTAGTTTGCAGTGCCAGGCTGCTGTAAACAAAGCTAGCAGGGTCTTGTCCTGTATTAAAAAGGGGATGTATTGCAGGGACAAGTCTATAATTTTGCCACTTTATAGATCATTGGTTCGACCTCATCTGGAGTACGCGGTCCAGTTCTGGTCACCAGTACTAAGAAAAGATGTCCTTGAGTTGGAAAAAGTCCAGCGGAGGGCAACCAAACTAATTAGGGGTATGGAGGACCAGAGCTACGAGACAAGGCTACTAAATTTAAACATGTTCACATTGGAGGTGAGGAGATTAAGGGGGGATATGATCTCCATGTACAAAATGTTCAATGGTGGTAGCAACATTAGCGATAAACTGTTTAAAATTAACTCCATTACAAAAACTAGAGGCCACCACCTAAAATTGGTGGAAAAAAAATTCCAGCACAAGGGGCGAAGGGGGTTCTTCACAGTAAGATCAGTTAGGGTCTGGAACTCACTGCCACAGACAGTGATTTCAGCTAAGAATGTGGAATTGTTCAAGAAACTTTTGGACGATTTCTTAAGGGACCGTAATATACAGGGGTACAGGTACTCCTAGAATGAGATCCTAATAGGTTGGACTTGATGGACTAATGTCTTTATTCAACCTCAAATATTATGTAACTATGTAACTGTGCAAGACCGAAGGGAAGGCCAAAGGTCAGATTTCTTGTTTGCATAATTATCACAGTTATTTATTACGTATCTTATTCTTGTAAAATGTTGCTAAATAGCTTTTATATCAGTGGCTGAGAAGGTAAACTGGGTAATATTGTATAAAGATAATAAAGCATCGTACTGGACAGATGTTGGTCTAGATTTCCATGTTTTATAGAATCTCTAGCAAGATGGAGTTTCAGAACGTTTCTCTTTTACACACACCTATAACAATATATACGGCAGGACCCTGCATATATATTGTAATAATTATAATATAATATAACTCACTGTTCCAATTCCACCTCTGACTGTCGGTTAATGTGCCGGGTGCAGGCTACAGTGTGTTCCCACTCCTTTAACAATTATTTGTACAATCAGCTGCACAAAGACCGGTATCCATAAAAACGGCTTCATTGTAATAATTTCCAGATAAAAAGCCAAAATCAAACGTAGTACAGCAAACACATCACCATGGTATCTTTCCCACACCAGCGCCTCTCACACAACTCACCACCTAGGCTTAATCATAGAGGTCATAATCATAGACCTCTATGAATCATATACCTCTTCGGTTTGGCTGAACTGAAGGGCTCCAGCGGCTGGAGTGAACCGAAGTATTAGCCGAAGCTACAGCTATATCCTTCGGCTCCTTCGTGGATAACCTTTAGATGAAAATAAACTCATAATCTCCATGTTCTACAAATAGGTATTTAGGAGTCTAGAGGTATATCAAGCTGATAAGGAGGTATGAGGTAACAGAAATAATATCTTTGCAATGTGCAAAGATGCGCTCCTCATTAAAATTCTTAGGTGTATGCGTTAATGTGTAAAATCTTAATGTTTGAGGGGAGTCTTATGTTGCAGCAAGAATTGGAGCTCAGGCTTTCCCCTTAGATTTTAAGCTCCTTGAGGGCAGGGACTGATGTGAATGTGCACTGTAAAGTGCTACATAAATTGTCAGCGCTATGTAAATACCTGTAATAAATAAATACAATTTTAGACCAGATCACATTCCAGAAATTGCTGCCATCTTGGATCTCCT